GCTGAATATGACGCCTTATGTTGGACAAAAGGGGGAGTGTAAAGGATCAAAATGGCGGAAATTAGTCTATGGTTACAGAAGATATAAAATAAATTAACCGATAAAGGCTTGCGTTTCGCTTGCGCTTTCCTCTCATAGTTTTTACCGCTGGACTTTTACCTCGATGAAATGCATAATCTATCGAAAGGTGAATTTTGGAGTTTTAATTAACGGGTGATTTTTTAAGAGCTTGATAACTTTTTTTTTTTAAAAAACGCATAAAATTTGCAAAATCTCATCGGTTCTTTATTTGAAACGTTAGATTGGTCCATGACATTTACTTTTTGAAGATAATTTCATTTAAATGTTGACCGCGGCTGCGTCTTAGGTGGTCCATTCGGAAAGTCCAATTTTGGGCAACTTTTTCGAGCATTTCGGCCGGAATAGCCCGAATTTCTTCGGAAATGTTGTCTTCCAAAGCTGGAATAGTTGCTGGCTATTTCTGTAGACTTTAGACTTGACGTAGCCCCACAAAAAATAGTCTAAAGGCGTCAAATCGCATGATCTTGGTGGCCAACTTACCGGTCCATTTCTTGAGATGAATTGTTCTCCGAAGTTTTCCCTCAAAATGGCCATAGAATCGCGAGCTGTGTGGCATGTAGCGCCATCTTGTTGAAACCACATGTCAACCAAGTTCAGTTCTTCCATTTTTGGCAACAAAAAGTTTGTTAGCATCGAACGATAGCGATCGCCATTCACCGTAACGTTGCGTCCAACAGCATCTTTGAAAAAATACGGTCCAATGATTCCACCAGCGTACAAACCACACCAAACAGTGCATTTTTCGGGATGCATGGGCAGTTCTTGAACGGCTTCTGGTTGCTCTTCACTCCAAATGCGGCAATTTTGCTTATTTACGAAGCCATTCAACCAGAAATGAGCCTCATCGCTGAACAAAATTTGTCGATAAAAAAGCGGATTTTCTGCCAACTTTTCTAGGGCCCATTCACTGAAAATTCGACGTTGTGGCAGATCGTTCGGCTTCAGTTCTTGCACGAGCTGTATTTTATACGGTTTTACACCAAGATCTTTGCGTAAAATCTTCCATGTGGTCGAATAACACAAACCCAATTGCTGCGAACGGCGACGAATCGACATTTCACGGTCTTCAGCAACACTCTCAGAAACAGACGCAATATTCTCTTCTGTACGCACTGTACGCATTCGTGTGGTTGGTTTAATGTCCAATAAAGTAAACTGAGTGCGAAACTTGGTCACAATCGCATTAATTGTTTGCTCACTTGGTCGATTATGTAGACCATAAATCGGACGTAAAGCGCGAAACACATTTCGAACCGAACACTGATTTTGGTAATAAAATTCAATGATTTGCAAGCGTTGCTCGTTAGTAAGTCTATTCATGATGAAATTTCAAAGCATACTGAGCATCTTTCTCTTTGACACCATGTCTGAAATCCCACGTGATCTGTCAAATACTAATGCATGAAAATCCTAACCTCAAAAAAATCACCCGTGTTACGGCTTTTTGTATTTCAGCGACTAAGGTGAGATAGGGCCTTTTAATGTTAAGTTAACGATATCGTCACTAAACACGAATAAAGGCGCGAGCTCAAAAGTCGATGGCGAAAAAAGACGCATAAAAAAATTTCAGCGTCAAAGACTCTTAACATACTTCGCCAAAGTTTTTTATAAGCATCTTTTTTCGCAAAATTTTTTTAAACGCCTTTTTTCGCCGTCAAAAAACGCGCCTTTATTCGTGTGTAGTGACGATATGTGCTATTTAAAAAAAATACATTTTATTTCGAAGGAGTGGAAAATTGATGTAAGCTAATATGATTTCAAGTCCAAATCTTCTTATTTTTTATGCCATGTGATACATTCTTCCACACTGATTTCAAATTCTCAGTCTCAAAAATCGACCAAAATGTAGTCAAGCCAAATCGACTGCTGAGTGGAAGATCGACCTATCTCGGCAGCCAGTTCGGAAACGCCCTATCTCAAAAGACTTTTCAAGAACGCCCTATTTCAGAATTTGGTTGAAGAAAGCCCTATTTCAGCTTCCGATTCAAACACGCCCTATCTCAGCACATTTTTAATTCATTTTGAAGTGAGATAGAGCGTTCTTCAACCAAATTTTGAGATAAGGTATTTTTTAATAAAATTTTGAAATAGGGCGTTTTTGAAAAGCTTTTTGAGACAGGGCGTTTTCGAACTGGCTACCAAGATAGGTCGAACTTCCACTCAGCAGTCGAAACATTGTCTAAATAAATTATGCAGAGCAAAAATTAAAAAAAAAACATAATTTTATGATTTGCGAAAACGGAACGAACAACAAAACAATTAGAAAGTTCACAAGGTGTTGTATACTGTCGTATTATTCAGGGGATTCGCAAACTACCAATTTTATTTGGCCGTTAAAAAATTATGATATACGACAAACGACGCGTACAACAATACGGCACGTACGACATCTTGTGCACTAAATAACTTAAAGGGTAAGTTAAAATTGAATTAAAAATCACACGAAATTATAAACCAATTTTTTACTTACATTTTACTTAAAATTCTTTATAAAAATATACATAGTTCATACTACACCAAAAAAACATTAAAATAACATCTCTAAAGGCTCTGTCACATAAAGCTTTCGCGTCGCTTTGGCGTTGTATCACTTTGACAGCAACGCAAGTAGCGCAAGTGTTTGCTACAGTTTTGATGCTTTTAAAAAATCGCGTTGATTTTTTCAGTTTCTTCCAAACAAAAAAAAATGTCAAACAAACTTTATGTACTTTGTTACAATCCATTTGTTTAATATCCATTTGTCATTAAAGTAGCAATAGCGTTCTTGATTTTAGAGTCGATTAACCGTAAAGTACTAACCTATTTTACATACATTAGTACTAATGATCGTCGAACCGACAGAAGATAAAACTCTAACCCCACACAAGCAGTAAAGAGCTAATAAATAAAACTAGAGTTATAGTCGTCGAATCAACGAACCTTAGTACACTAGGATTAAATAGAATTTGTAAAATATATATACATGTTTTAAGAGTTCTAAATGTTTTTACAACGAGATTTCTAAAAATTTTTTCTTGCCAACAAAACCGAGACATTTTGCGCCCCGGCATGCCCTTCCTTGCGGTCGTACCTAGCACAATGAAAGAAGAGTTCAGCTAGGAGAGGAATAGGTTCAGAAATGAACACTGGCTTAACACTGCAGGTCTACGCCAGGCTACTGGTTACTGGGAGCTACAACCTTACAAGGTGCATGGCAATAATAAATCTTCCCAAGGAGAGATTAAGGATGATAAGAGGTTTTCTGACGGGTCACTGCAGACTGAGGGGTCACCTGCACAAGCTAGGTATCTGGTCGAACGACCTATGTCGTTTCTGCGAGGTGACAGAGGAGGCTTCTTTGCACCAGCTTTGCAAGTGCGAGGCGGTTGCGAGAGAACGGGAAAGGTATGTAGTCCAACTCTGGCCAAGTGAAGAACTTAAACAATCGCTAACCCCTGGAGACCTCCTCAAATTTCTGGATTCTCTAGGGCTAGATGCTGTGCTGTGAATGGTTGAGAGCACAAAAGATCTCTTGGTCGCAGTGCATACCTCTATTTCAATCTATCTAACTATGCAGTGAAGGAACAACTAATTTAAAATGCAGTAATCGGTTGAAGTAATATTTTCTGATGGTCATGGAGAAAGCACTGCCCTTACTTGTTTTATATTAAAGTTGAGTCGCGTTTAGGTCATTCATTTCACTCATCGCACAAAGTTTAGTTGTTTCTAGGTCCGAGATGCCCTTAAAATAACACATAGTACGTATATATGTACATATAACGAGTTTTGTTACGACTGGGTTCGACCTTTTTGAGGGCCACACTCATGCAAGAAAAGTGCATCTTTATTCGAAAGCTGCGCTATCTAATTTGAGAGTAATCTCTTTAGAGTCTGAAGTTTAATCCCTACGTACATATACACCATAGCTCTTGATTCATTTATTACTATTTGTATACACACGAAATAATGAATACGAAGAGTTATCGCGATGTATTATCTCTCCACGTAAGCATATTTATGTATATGTACAAATATAAAAAAAGTGCAAGTAGACATTAGACCGGGTGGGTTCCTATATAAAAAGTTGTAACTATTCCTGCTCGGTAGACCAAAAACTTACTACAAA